AAAAAAAGGTTTCGAGATTTTTTTTTTTTTAAACAAATTTGAATTTTTGTGAAAAATATCAATTCTATTGGAAATTAATTGAATATTCAATATTTTATACATAATTAAACCATTATCCCATCAAACTCGATTGTTTTTTGAGGAATATTTTGTATAGAAAATTTTAAATTAATTGAATATTCAATATTTTATACATAGAAAATTAGTCCAGTGAATAATTTATAAATAAATCATACAATTCCCCCTAAAATTATTAAAATATTTATACATGCCATTATAGTCTTTGTATAAATCTTACAAATTATGAAATGTCTATATTAAATAAATAGTCACTTAATTAACTCAATAATAATCTGCCTCAATAGTTCATTAATAGTGTTTACTTTCAATTGTTAGATTGTTTTTTATTTGGGTTTTTGCTGTGATATATGTATTTTAAAAATTAGCACGAAGCTAAAAATATTGAATATTTAAAAACGGTTCGAAAGATTCCAGTTGTATCCTGCTGATAAATTTTTAATAAAAATTTAATAAAAAATGTATATTAAAAAAAAATGTCACTTTATTAAGTCACTTAATTAACTCAATAATAATCTGCATCAATTCAGTTCATTAATAGTGTTTCAATTGTTAGATTGTTCTTTTTTTAGGTTTTTCCTGTGAATCTTATATGTATTTTAAAAGTTAGTACGAAGCTAAAAATATTGAATATTTAAAAACCGTTCGAAAGATACCAGTTGGATCCTGCTAATAAGTTTTTAATAAAAATTTAATAAAAAAAAATTATTGACGATTTTAATGAAAAAGCATGATAATAGTGTTCACAGTATTAACGAATGCCCTAAAATATTATACAAAAAATCGATTAATTATAAAAGCACACTAAATGTGTGTCATCATTCAGCAGTTCGTACGTAACAAAATAAATAATTGCTCATATTTATTTAATTTTTTAATTCGACGAATTGGTTGATTTATTATTATATCAAATACGTTTCACAGTCGAAAAACAGCCAAGATATAAATATATATGTATAAGCAATCGCCTGTAGCATCAAAATACAGAAAACGATAAGACTTGCTAGACATTTATGTCAATGGTATTTATCAAAGAATGATAAAACTTACATTTTGTATATTGTAATTTCATAACAAAGGAATTGTTTTCGATAACAATAAATATCAAACTACGCAAAACATAAATTTTTTCGGGCCTGCCTGCCCGCAACATATTTAATTTTTCTTATTAGAAACGTTTACAGTTTTTATTTGAACACTAATGAGAACTTTAAAGTCTTATATTATAGGCTGTTGTGATGTTTAACTTTAACTCCATGGCTTTTTAGAAGGCGTCCCAAGACTTAGATGCTGGCCTTAGTTTGTTAGATATATTTTTATTATTAGATTTTCTTCTAATACTGATAGCTTTTTAATTTAATGATGGTAATGGTTAGAGCTTTGTGCTTCAGACTGCCTGAGATCAAGCAGTAGTTACATCGGTTTATTTGGAAATATAGATGGAAATAACAATTATTATGAAAATAACAATTTCCCAACATCGCTGCATCAATTTAAAAATCTTCAGTATTAGAGAAATTATTGTAATATCTTTTTTTTTATTCTCTTTGTTGAATTACAATCTGTCTTTACAAAAAGGAAGATATTCAGTAATTTTGATGATATATGAAATATTAAACATTACATCTAAAAGGTTACCCAGTAGTAAGCCTTTTCAATTTTGATATATTAAATTTAAATTTTGTGATTATATAGAGGAAATTATTGTAATATATATAGGAAATAGAGATCGGCCAATTGGATAGGCTTCTAAAAAGGCATTTAGTAAAGCAAAATTGTCACAACAGCCTATAGGATTGTTCTGATAAATTCTGATCGCTGTTCAAATAAATAAATAAAATATTATTTATTATAATATTCTAAAGGATAGTAGGAAGAAAATTGATACAGTTTGGTTTGAAATATATTGAACAACCTTGACTATTTGAAACTCTTTTGAAAACTCGTGAAAAATATTCAGAAAATCCGGAAGCTTTCCAGTGATTTACAAATTCAAAAGGATGATTATCAAATAATTTATTTTGATAATTATAGCGATAATATATATGTTTTTATTATAATAATCGTATTACACTAAAAAATAAGCCACGGTTTAAATAACACGTCAAAAAAAATATTTTGATAATTCAAATCGTATATTTAAAATTTTATATTAGTGTGATATCCGACTTTAATTTGTAAGTGTGCAAATATATAAAGTAACATGTAAACAAATAAACATTGACATACATTTTATTCGATACAAACTGTCATGTATTATCATTGATCGAAAACGTTTAATGGATAACTTCTTATGCTTTTATATATTTTTAGAAAAAGTAACAATCCTTTGAAAGTAATACAAAATATCAAAAAACATTCATTCCGAGCATTTATAATTTGAATATATATGTTCAAATCAGAAAAACATATGCAAAAAAGCAAACAAAAAACTTTATTTTATAATATATTAGAAAAGTACCAAATCATAAATTTAAAAAAAACGAAAAATTGAAAGTAAAGTTCTATAAAAAGTTATATTTCATTTTCCTTAGTTAAGAAAAAAAAAGATTTTTTGTGTGTGTGTTCTTGATATTTTTTTATAAAATTTATTATGTGATCATATTGTTATCTTTAATAAAGTATTTTTTGGGCTTCTTTATGCCAAACAATAACATATTTGATATTAAATAATACATCCTTTGATAATTTTCTATTTTTTATTGTAACTATTGCATTTCCAACTCAACCTGGACTTAACGTCCTTGAAAATTAATAAAAGTTATATTCATTTTCCTTGATTACGAAAATGAGATTTTATGTGTGTTTGTGTTCTTGGTATTTTTTTATAATATTTATTTTGTGAAACGTATTTTACGATCATATTGTTTTCTTTATTTAAGTACTTTTTGAGCATCTTTATGATAAAATTAAATAACACATATTTAATATTGTATAATACATTCTTTGATAACTTTCTATTTTTTATTGCAAGAAATTTTTCAACTCAACCTGAACGTTAAATTGCAAGGGTTTACGTTCTTATTTGGTATCGTGTAAAATGTATTAGCTGAAAATTTTATGTTGAATTTATTTTAAAACACATAATTTTTATTAAATTGGTAGAAGGTTCGTAATCAATATAAATATTACCGTACGATTTATTTTTTAATTTCCCGTAGGGTAAGTTATAGTAATCGCAAAAAAATCGAAAATGAATTTTTTTATATATCTTTACGTTTCAAACCTTCTGAACATTTTGGCATACCTTAGAAAATGGATGTATGTGTGTGTGTGTGGATACAAATTTTCATCGACGATTTCGGGAACACTGATTAACCGATTTGAATAATTCAAAAACATTCTTTTCGTATTGATAAAGAGACGTGCTGATTAGTTTTTGGCAAAGCAGGTCTAGCCGTTCCGAAGTTACGGGGTAAAAAGTGCCAAAAACGGTGATTCAGTTTTTAAGAGAACGGAGCGTCCGGTTTTAATAATGCAAAAAACATTTTACTTGTATTGACAACATGAAGATCTGATTAAAGTTTTGGGAAGGCAGGTTCAGCGGTTATGGACGCTTAATAAAAATAAGTAAAAAATTTCATTTGGCGGTCAACAATGTTTATTGCACATATGTACATCAAATTATCAGATATTTTATAGAGATTTTAATAATGTGTACATATTTTGTGTAAGGTACGATGCCATGCACCCCACTAGTTGTTTTTTTTTTCTGTATAGCGAAGGAAATGCCTTTATGCATCCCAGACGTGTCTTTTGTCTGGGTATGTCAGACACAATACCGCCTTGGTATAATACTACCTGCTAAAACCTCCGCTTTGCTTGCCCTTGCCTCTAGTCTTTGCCTTTATTTTTTGAATGGATGTACTCGTATGTATAAAAAATATCCCTGTAGAGAATACAGTCTACTCTCTCTGATAAATGGATAATGAAAATACAAAAAATAAATCTGTTTATACACAAATAGAAAATAATGATTATAATATAAACGTTTAATTATTTGTTCTGGCCACTTTATGAAGTTCAAATTATCAATCATCAATATATAAATATGCTAATCACAAACTTGTGCAAATTAAAAATACTATTTTTTAATCATGATAACCATGTGCCTTAAGGCAAATTGCTGGAACTTCCCGTACCGTAATTAAAATCTTGGTACGGAACCCAAAAAAATGTACACAAAATGTGTACACATTATTAAAATCTCAATAAAATATCTGATAATTTGATGTACATATGTCCAATAAACATTTTTGACTGCCAAATGATGATTTTTTTAGCTTATTTTGATTGAGAGTACATAACCGCTGGACCTGCCTTTTCAAAAATTTAATCAGTTCTTCATCTTGTGAAGAGAAGTAAAATGTATTTTACTTTTTGTCCCGTGTCTTCGAAACGGCTAGACCTGCTTATGCCAAAAACTAATCAGCACGTCTCCTTATCAATACGAATTGAATGTTTTTTTAATTATCCAAATCGGCAAAAATTTGTATCCGCACACGCACACACACACACACACATACATCCATTTTTTCTAAGGTATGCCAAGATACTAAAAAACTTTGAAACGTAAAGACATATAAAGATTTTCATTTTCGATTTTTTTGCGATTACTATAACTTGTCCTACGGGAAGTTAGAAATTGATATTTATCAAAAATGATTCGAAAGTATTTTCCGAACCATCCATTATATACATAGTCCGACTCGCTTGTCATACGTTGTTTTGCGAGGGTTTAGCGCAACTGTTCAAGCGTCAGCTGTTGTTTAGATACGATAGTTCAATATTTCTGACATTTGGTAGTTTGTAGTGCTGAAAGACTTAATTAACAACTAAGAATATTTAAAAAATAGTGCAAAATTAAATTATTCAATTTATAAATTATTATTCTATGTGAATTATCCAAGTGTTACAGAATATTTAGTGTTTTTTTTTATAAACGGACTCATGAACCTTGCAAGCCATTCAAATGCAGATAATGCAAATCATGGAGGATATTTTATTAATTTCAATCAGGATTGCACGTACGTATATCGCCAATATTAAGGTAAAAAACAGAAAACATATTTTAAATGTTTTCAATAACGCGAACGCTTGACAGTTCACATGTTTGGTCGTGATGATTTGACGTTTCTCAAAATTATTTATTACTGTATCGCTAATCACTTTCGATTATTGTCAAATCAGTATCCATAAGTATGAAAAAATCAATCATGTCAATATGTTACAATTTCGTAATTTTGATTTAATAAAGTTTTATGACGTCATGAAGAAAGTAACTTATGTCAAGGCTATCGTGAATTTATTTTTATTAATCAAATTTTTAAGGAATATTAGATACTTTTTGTTGCATCATGCAACATCGCGAAAAAAAATCAGCTGTTTTTGACATTAATCGAATATTCGATTGTTCAAGGACTAATGAAGTCCTTGTAAAATTATTCAACAGCTGGAGAATTGTGCATATTGAACTGGTTTATTGCACAAAAATGCAGTATTACATAGCACAATGTATGAACTCAGTTAAATAATATATGTATATTCTATTCTTATATTATTAGTATAATAATATATGATTTATTATCTGGAGTACAACTGATTGCTTTGAATTATTGTTTATGATTAACAGCTTTTAGCATCAACAAATCTCAATTGCTATGACTCATATGTTTGATTTTTTTAATTACTGTTATTCCATCTTTGCTATTTTAAAAAATATGCTATTAATTTTCCAAAATAAATTTTTATTTTATATTTATATTATACAATATGAAGATTTATTTTGAAGTTTATTATTATTATTTTTAGTTGGTTTGGCCCTTTATATACCCTGTAAAGGATCAGTGTGATCATATATATTACATCAGATTTGAATAAAAATTATGAAAAATTGCTTTACATTTGTAAATTATTCAAAAGAGAATGCATTATTCTCGTATGAATAGTATATTAACTTCAGAACCAATATTTGTTTATACCTCTGTGCTATATTATGCTTCTTACGCTTATGTTGTTGCAGAAAACAATTGGGTTAAAGCTCTGATAGATAAAGCTGAAAATTGATGATTTGAGAAATAATTGAAAATTTAGAGAAATAAGAATGATATAGAAGTTGCTGTTTCGCGAAAGGAATTTGGAAAAGTTTGGGAAAAAGAAGTTCTGTATAGCTTTTGTCAATCAAATATTATTTATCTTCTGTTGCATATCCATTATATGTATTAGTTCATTTGTAATATTTCATATGTAGATATTTAGTTATTGAGTAAGTTTTATGATTTATTATGATTTAAAAAATCCTTCATGAATTTTTAATGGATTATATACTAAGTTTTTTTTAAATACTTTGCATATATAGCTCATTGGCTGTCGGAACTCAGACGGTCACAAGTTATTCTCATTGAACTCTGTAGACCATTTGGAAGAAATCTATAGGAGTCATGGAGAAGATATATGTATTGTTGAAAGACTGTTCAGTTCCAGTCTCATGGCAGTGGTTTCTGTTGCTGCACCTAGAAAACTCAAAGTCCGTCATTTCAAAAAGGGAACCGAAATTTGTAACTATAGTTACAGTAACACCATATTGGCTGTAAAATTGAATCGAGCGGTAAATATCAGTAAAGAAAAAAAGATTAATTACCATGATAAATATAAAAAAGGTTAAGGATTTTGTGTTATACAGTTTTATTCATCCTTCTGTATAAAATATAAACTTTGGTTGATTTCAACCAATGCCTATATATTCAATAGGATTTTAATACTTTACTCGATTCCAAAACTTTCGCAAATAATAAGAGAGTCTGTAGACATTTCTGTCAATGCCCAGAATTCTTTAGAGTATAAAGTATTAATAGTAGTTGGTATTAATAACATTTGAAGCTGATGAAAAAAATTCAAAAATATAATTCTTTTTTGATAAGATAAATACCTGACTGCAAAAAGTTAATAAAATTGTTTATATTCAGAGGTTAGTGGTATGCTTAGAAGAGAGTCTGTATATTCACAATATACGAGATATGAAAGTGCTGCATACAATAAGGGATACACCCCCAAATCCAAATGGATTATGCAGCCTCTCTACAAGTTCCGACCATTGTTACTTAGCTTATCCCGGGTCAAGCACAATCGGGGAAGTTCAAATATTTGATGCAATTAACTTAGTGAGTTTGATTGAAATATTTTAAGAAACTCTTTTTGATCTAAATGATAACGCATTTACTGACAGCACGCAAAAACCATGATACCAGCACATGATTCACCTTTAGCTGCTTTAGCATTCAGTCCCCAAGGAACTAAGGTAAATCAAATATATTATTACATACATATATATAGAATTTTCTGATTCGAGTGGAACGAATATTAAATGTTAAATATGAACAGTACAACACTCAGATTTTTAGCAAATACTTTATTTAATAATTACAGACGTTTCAAGACCATGGTAAGCCTCATATTGACTAATTTCAAAACAGTAAAAAATTATACACTAATACATCAAAATACTTGTTCTATCGTAACTATCATATTGTATCTATAAATATAGTTTTCAAAAAATTTCTGTATATATTCACATGTTTAGTACTGTGTCAAGCATTGTAAAAGATAGTTGGTGTTTTTGTTTTTCAAAAATTAAATATAATTTAATAATGTATATTTTATATAATTTTTACTGTTTTGGAATTACACTGAAGATATCATGATCTAAAACATCTGCAATTATTAAAATGTGTGCTAAAAATCTGAGTGTTGTATTGTTCATATTTAACATTTAATATATATATATATATATATATATATATATATATATATATTACTTGACTTAATTAAATTATAATTGAATAATTATAATTATTTATCAGGTTGCAACAGCGAGTGAAAAGGGAACAGTTATTCGGTGGTTTAATGTGCAAGATGGAACAAGAATTTTTGAGTTTAGGAGAGGAGTCAAACGTTGTGTTTCAATCTCAAGTTTGGCATTCAGTGTATGTGGGACGTTTTGTGTTGCAGTTCTAATACAGAACTGTACATATTTTCAAGTTGGAAATTCCTAAAGACATGTATGTAGAAATGTCTTCTATGCTGTTTTTATTTTTGTTTAGTTCAAAACTTGAATAAATGATACCTTTTTTATGAACATTGTTTCTCTGTTATGATATCTGTTTATTAATTTGTGTTTAAATCAAATTGTAAATAAAATGTACCACTGAATCAATTATTGGTCATTTTTATACCTTATTAATATAATCTATAAACTTGTTTCATCATTGTATAGCAATGTTTCTATAACAGTAGTATTCAACCAATATAAACTTGCATAAAAGCACATATCTTATACATCTAATTGATATTTCTTCATCTTAGCCCTAGACAAAATTCTGAGGATGGTGGTTGGATGGGTTACTTAACTAAAGCTGTTTCTGCAAGTGCCAACTACCTTCCATCCCAAGTAACCGATGTATTCAGTCAAGGTAGAGCTTTTGCTTCTGTCAGATTGCCTTTCCAAGGAGTCAAGAATGTTTGCGCTATTACTACGTACGTATATATTATAATTGTAATCATAATTATTTTTTCATAAAACATCCCAATCCAATCGCAAATTCAAATTTTAAAAATCATTATTTTTGTAAATTTTTGACTGATATTTTTTTTACAATGGATAAAATACAATCTGTTAAAAATGACTTTGTATTTATATTCTGTTTACCAAAATTAATATTATATTAACATTAGGATAGAACAACAGTGTTCTGCATTTGATATTCTGCAAAAATGCTTTAAGTTATTGTTTAAAAGCTAAGAAGTTATTCAACAAAGGTATGTTGATCAAGATACACTACTATGTATTCCCTTTCAAATTGAAAATTGGTCATGTTGTTCAAAATGGGTAAAATATAAATAAAATGATTATTAATTTTTTAAACCAAAAATACCATATTATATTATATATATATATATATATATATATATATATATATATCTGGCATCCCAGTGAATAAGTAGTTAACTCAAAGTTGGCAAGAATGTCCTGAGTTGCAAATTTACTATTCCTTCTAAATAATTATTAAATTGTTATTAATTATTAAAAATAAAATACTTTATATATAATTTAAACCTTTAGTTTTAAATATGCAATATTATATGAGTAATAAAACTTTGAAATCAAGCCTTGCAAAACAGTGAAAATTTACTTAACCACTTATTCACTGGGATGATAAATATATTCATCCAGAACTGGATTTCATAATATCCAAAATAAGTATTGTAGTAGTAGTATTTACAGTATGTTTTTAGTGAAAAAAATTGATAAAGAATACCTGAATTATGATTATAAAAAATTGAAAGAAGGGCAAAGAATCGAAAGCCATTCACTAATTTTTTTTTAATTATGGCTTTAATTAATTATAGATCTTAATTTTATTTCATTCTTGCAAATTTTTACTAAACTTTATTTGGATTTTCATACAAGTACTATTAAAGTTGAAGACTATTTCAATCATTTATACTATGATGATCTCTCTCTATTTCTTTCTATCTTTCTGTAGTCTTTTAGTAGTATTATTTACTCTCTATTTTCACAATATACCAAAAATTTCGAGGATAGAAATTATATTCTTATCTACAGGGTTCAAAAGAACTTGAGACTCCTCGTGGCTACAGCTGATGGTTATTTGTATGTGTACAGTCTTAATACAATCGAGGGTGGAGAATGTGTTCTTCTCAAAACGCACAATTATCTGGTCTTGAAGTGAACAAACCGACTGGATTGTGCAAATCAAGTCAAACGATCCCAAGGGACATTATTTATAATAAAGGTAGGAACTGTTTTATTATTTTTACATTTTTCCTGTTAGCATTTTGTATTTTATTTTTGTTAATGTTATATTATTTCAAATTTATTGAGGT